GAGTGAGCCATGAGTCCGTGAGCGCTCACGGAGAGCTGCTGAGCGGCCACAGTCCGCACTCCCGTCCGAGCCCGCGGGCTCTGAGCCACCGCGCCATGGGCATGGCCACCCTGCTGGACGGCGGAGACTATCACCACCCGGGACACCTGCACCCGGCCATCAGCATGTGCGAAGCCCCCCCTGGCATGAGTGCGAGCACCACATACACCACCCTAACGCCCCTGCAGCCATTGCCCCCCATCTCCACCGTTTCGGACAAGTTTCCCCCCCATCATCACCACCACCATCACCACCCGCACCATCCTCACCCGCATCCGCACCAGAGGATCCCGGGAAACGTCAGCGGCAGCTTCACGCTGATGCGGGAGGACCGCAGCCTGGCGCCTATGAACAGTCTGTATCCCGCATACCACCACAAGGACCCCTGCATGGGCCAGAGCCTCTCCCCGTTATCTGGCTCCGGGCTGGCCAGCATCCACACGTCCCAGGCCGGCATCCCCCCGTACGCGCATCCCGGCGCCGCCATGCCCGGGGAGAAGATGCTCACCCCCAGCGGTTTCGAGGCGCACCACCCGGCCATGCTCGGCAGGCACACGGAGCAGCACATGAGCTCCTCGGCGGGCATGGTGCCAATCAACGGCCTCCACCACCACCCGCACGCCCACCTCGGCGCGCAGGGCCACGGCCAGGGGCTGGGGAACAGCCGGGAGCAGGCCTCCGGGCCGGGGCAGCAAGGGGCTGGCGGTGGGGGCGGAGGAGGGGGTGTTTCCGGGGGACAGATGGAGGAGGTGAATACCAAAGAGGTGGCGCAGAGGATCACCACGGAGCTGAAGCGCTACAGCATCCCTCAGGCCATCTTCGCCCAGCGGGTCCTGTGCAGGTCCCAGGGGACCCTGTCGGACTTGCTGAGGAACCCCAAGCCCTGGTCAAAGCTCAAGTCCGGCAGGGAGACGTTTCGCCGCATGTGGAAGTGGCTGCAGGAGCCTGAGTTCCAACGCATGAGCGCGCTCAGGCTCGCAGGTGAGCGCAGCCTCGGTAAAGCCCCTCTTTTTATTTTTATTTACTGCTTCCATCTCTTGAATGTGTCAAAGTAAATAAACAGGGGGGGGGGGGGGTCATGCTCAATGACACTGACTCTATTTCTACCCTGTGCTGAACAAATGAAAGGTCAAATGTGCTGACAGATCAAATTCATCCTCTTGTTTTTACTAATAAAAGCAAAAAAACGTATTTTAAGTAAGGGGCGCGTGCAGGACCAGTGTTCCCTTCAGGATGATTGCTCCTCATAAAATGAGATAATCTCTCCACTCTTCTGCAGAACAGAAAAGCTTTATGAAAGATGCTGGGAGGCCAAGCTTTACCATGTTTTTTATTATTATTATCATTATATTTGGAACCAGCTGAAAGGTTTTGGAATGAAGATGCGCCTCACGTGCTGCTGAGCAAGCACCAAACATGCACCTCTTTTTCTGTACACTAATTGTGGCTCCAACTGCTCATGTTATTTTACCTCAAAATATCGACTACTGCTGCTGTGTGTGCGCGCGCGTGTCCGTGCGTAAACCGATCCTTGTCCCAGCAATCGTTAGGAATGTGTTTATTTTGGTGGAGATGCAACTGATCAGCTCATTTTTTGGTGTTGCCCTTGGTGTAAACAGGCATATTACATAGAAGGATGTGTGTGCGTGCGCGTGCGTGTGTTATCTGTGATAAAGTAGATTTAAATGTCAGCTGAAGTTGGGCTCATGCATTATTTAACAGGTGAAAATTGCTTTGGCTTTCATTTTGAGAAAACAAAAAGAGAGAGATTGAAATGCGTCAGAGGAGGAGAAATTAGACGAGATGTGCGCTTCACGCGCGCGCTGCTAAACTCAACCTGACTTGACTGAAGTTTCTTTAATTAACTGCTGGACTTCAGTATTCATTTGTCCCCGAGGTGCGCACGAGTCAATTATGGAGACACCGACACAAATAACACGTGCGCGTTTTGTTTTTTCTTCTTTTTTTCTTTAAGACACAAATAATCTAAACAAGTGGACTTCTTGTGGGTTCTTTGAAAAGTGAGGCTTCAGCTGCAGAGCTGCGGGGGTGGAGACACGCGTGGATTTACTCAGTGTGTGTGTGCGTGTGTGTGTTGGTGCGAGTGTGCGTTAATCGCAATTGATTATTTTTGCAAGTTTTCCCATCTGCTGCTGCTGCTTGTGTGCGTGTGCGTGTTTGAAAACAAGATTATATAATTTGCAAATGAGCTTAAAGGAGATTGGTTCTTTGCATTTGATCTTATAAAATGTGTTAAAAGAAGAAAAACTCATCTCTTTTATTATTATTATTATTATTATTATTATTATTATTATTGTTGTTGTTATTAAAACTGGCTTAATATAAAGAGAATATGAAGAGCTTCACTTGTGCCTAATGATAATTTCTGTCAGCTTTTTATTGTTGTTTATTATCTAATAAAATTAGTTACAAATGTTAATTCAATGTGTCAAAAAGTCTTAAATAATTCATAATAATAAGTTTTATAGGTGCAGTGTTTGGCTAGTTGATCAAATTATGTTGACCCCCCCCCAAAAAAAAAAGCAATAAGAAGGAGTTTGAATTTTAAGAGTTTTATTGTATTGATCCGGTGAAGTGAAGCAGATATGTGATCGTGTTCTGAAATAGATTTGAAATACTTATTGATCTCTGGCTTCTGATATTAATCTCAGGCCTTTACTCGTGTTCCCACAAAATCAGCTGAGATGATTCAGTAGAATAGAATCATTCATGATCTCTAAATCAGAAATGATCATGTGTTAATTTCACATTTAGAATCAGATTTCAACAAAATAATAATAATAATAAAAATGACGCTATGTGAATATTTGCTGTATTTCCAGCCCAGAGCTGTTTTTTCCAGAATAAGGCCCAATGTGTGCGGTTTGTTTTGAGTGTGTGGAGTTATCTGTGTGTTTGTAATGATTAGCTGGGAGCAGCAGCGGTGTGTGTGTGTGTGATTAGACTGATAATGAGGCTGTTGTTGTGTGTGTGTGTCCTCCTGGTCCTGGGAAAGCTGTAGCCTCCGTGCACCATGAGCTGCTCTGTGGCCGTGGCTCCTGCTGCTGTCTGCGTGGCCTTCACTCCTCCTGATTTATAGCAGCCTCTTAAACACAGGGAGCTCCAGATCTCTGTTAATGTTTTCCAGCACTGGAGACACCGAGCTGCTCATACTCACTATTATACTTCAGTTATCATCATACCAGCACAGACCGGTGGTGCTAGGTATGCTTTGGGTGATCATTTCATCAAACCTTCATTTAAACGAGAACGTTGACTGATCTCGTGTTCAAAACTTGTTTAAAATAATTCATTAAATCAGTAAAAACAGACTCCATTGATGGGTAGCTCAGTAAACTGACCCACACATTAAATCCACTTCCTACATTTTCATGTTTTTTGTTCAAAGCTCACTTATTTCCATATCTTATTCTTAAATGTTTGTGGGTGAAACATTGATTGACTTGTTTCTGTGCTTCACACAGGTAATTACCCTAATAAGAACTGTTATGTGGTTTGAGTGTCTCCCTAATTGAATTTACACACAGAGTTCATATTTGGGGTTTCTTAGGCAGCTCGCTTCTGCCCCCTACTGGTCACATCTCAACAAACAGCCTAAGCTTGGATGGCTTTCTTTGGATAAATAAAACAAACAACAGCAAAATGAACAAACTATCTAAAGTTGACTTTCAGCACCATGGACAGCACTCTGAAGCCTCCTGTCTGGTCCAGGTGGACGCCCTTCCCCAAGTAGGGTGGTGTTTAAGGCTAAAACAGACCAGCATCCAGCCTGAGGCCGACAAATTCCTCCATATTGTTAAAAATGACCAGGAGTTCCTCAGAGATATACTGATCAACTGATCAGCATGTTTGATCCAAGATGATTATGGCTTTGACTGCATTTTAATTACAGCTTATATCTACAATAAAACTTACATTTTACAGCTGTTTTTAGCTGCTAATCAATAAAAGCAAATTTATTTATAAAAAACATTTTAAACATCCCAAGATGACCAACCTGCTGTACAATATATCCCATAAAACAGCCATTATATTATGTCATTCAAATTAAACCATTCAAAGCAATCTGAAACAAAATAGAGAAGTTGCATTTTCTACGAAAATATGTGTGAATGCTTATTACTGAAGAACTTGCTGAAAAACAGCTGAAATTAGCTTAAAAAATGCTGAAATGTAGCTGAAATGAAAGAACAAGCCTAAATTAGCAGAAGAAAGCAGAAATAACATATATTTGCTGAGTTATGTTTAAATAGGCAGAAATTAGCACAAAAATAGGAAATTAGTTCAACAAAAAAGCTGAAATTAAAAAATAAAAACATCTAAGAAGTAGCCAAAAAGGCAGAAAGAAGCTTAACTGAGAAGAAAGTGGAATGAGCTGAAATTAGAAAAAAAATGTGGAATTAGCTAAAAAGGAAAAATTTGCGTTAACCAGCTAAATAGTAGCTGAAATAGTAGAAAAAGCTGAGAACTAGTTGAAAAAGCTGAAACGAGCATAACAAGTTGAAATTAGCAGAGATGGGTTAATTGGATGAAAGCAGCATAAATTATCAAGGAAAACGTGAATTAATCTGAAAACAGCTGAAATTAGCTAAAACTTTTCTGAGAAGGTAGCTGCAAAGGTAGAACAAGGTGAAATTAGCAGAAGAAAACAGAAAGAACACATGTTTGCCCAATTAGTCTGAAAGAAGCAGAAATGAGCACAAAAAATAGAAATTTTCTGAAAAATGCTGAAATTAGCCAAAAAAAACAGCTGAAACGTAGCTCAAAAAGCAGAACCATGCTGAAATTACAAGAAGGAAGTGGAGAGAGCACATTTTTACTGAATTATGCTGAAAATAGTTGAAATGAGTGCAAAAAATGTGGAATTAGCCAAAAAAGCTAAATTTAGCATAAAACAGCTAAATAGTAGCTGAAATAGCATAAAAAATTAAACTTGCATAAATATAGGTAAGCTGAAAGGATCATAACAAGTAAAATTATCAGAAAGAAGTTAGAAAAAGCATAACAATGTTGTGGCAAAAAGAATCTGAAATGAGGACAAAACAGCTAAAATAGCTAAAAGAAGCTGATCCAGAACAAAATGTGAAAGGAGCAGTATAAAGCTGTAAACAGATCTTAAGGTCTGAAGGATATAAAATGAGCTCAATTCCTTTTCCATGAGAACAAAAATGGCAGAAAAAGCTAAATATTTGTAAAAGCTAAAGTTGCACCAATACCAAAAGTCACAGTAGGATTGTTCTGAAAGAGCTGAACGTTTTGATGAATGATCTGTTGAATAGCTTGAAAACTGCGGGACGAGAAATGTGCCTGAAAATGTACAGAAGAAAAATGGATCACAATAGTGTGAATGCTTCATAAACATTCACACAATAATAAAAACATATCAATCATAAAACCAAGGAAAAACACTAAATCACACATAAAATATTACTTAACAATCCCAAAGCATCAATTACATTTAAAAGGCAGAGAAAATAAACGTGTCTAAAGTTGCTTTCTGAAAACCTCTAAATAAGGGACATATTTGTTTTCCAATGACACAGTTCTGTGGAGGCTGCACCCAAGGCAGGATTTCCCTAATCTGGAATGGGGAACTGTTCAAAGATCCAACAGATCTAGAGTTTGAATAAGGGCTGAGAAACCCAGGTGATGTAATCTGGTGTCTGGCCCTGCATTCTGTTTCAAATGTTGAAACATTCTTGTTTCAATTCTGACTCTTGATATTAACCTGGGTCAAAATTACCTACAGCTGAGGCCTCATGAGTCATCTTGACCCAAGGTCAGCAGCGGGGTTAAAAGAAACTAGAAAGTTCCTGGAGAAACTTTGACGGGGACTGCCACATCACGGCCATTTTAAAAATGTATGGGGGACTGCCTAGTATAAGGCAGCCGCCTATTATTATCCACCTGCCTTAGGGTTTCTTAACTTTATATCTTGCTCTTACGTCAACTTTAATGTGACTCGAACTGCAACGTGTACCCCCACAAATGTTATATCAAAACGACCGGCTCAGCACTGTGATGTGTGCCACTACTTTTTTTGGCATTTCAAGTTACCATGGTGACATAATTTGCAAACTAAGACACCATGTTTCCCTTACAAAACGCCTGACAGAAGACTTCTCACACTAACGGCTACTGTGAGGTCACATGACTAAGAGTGGACAGCTCCATGAAGAAAACTTAGAAAGTCACTGTTGGATTTGTTTGAAAGTCACAGAGAGTCATCGTTAGTTGTAGCTTTAGAAAATATTAACCTTTGGAACCATTTTGATTCAAGATGGCTGCCATAGCTACCTCAGCAAACAAAAATTTGATTATAACTCGTTGAATTTTTCCATATTGAGCTGAAATTTGGTAT